CCGGGGGTCATGATTTGAACAATTTAGAATCTACATTATCCCAGGATGCTTCCATATAAGTTTCAGCTTTTCTGGCCCAGTGGTTTTTGAAAAGAAAAGATATCTTTAAAGATTTTTCTAATATATTTCAATGTTAAAATTAGATTCCCATTTGTGGCCCCGTCATACTCCCTTGGGGGGTCATGATTTGAACAGTTTAGAATCTACATTACCCCATGATGCTTCCATATAAGTTTTAGCTTTTCTGACCCAGCGGTTCTTTAGAAGAAGATTTTTTAATGAGCCCACCCTATTTTTGTCTTTTCTTGATTATCTCCCCTTGGAAGGGGGCGTGGCCCTTCATTTTGACAATTTAAATTTCCGTAAACTTTACCTAAGAATGCTTTGTTCCAAATTTGACTAAAATTGGCTCAGTGGTTCTTGAGAAGAAGTTGAAAATGTGAAAAGTTTACAGACGGACAGCTAGACGGACGACGGACATCGAGTGATCAGAGAAGCTTATATATTATTATTCTCTTTTCTTTCTTTCACATCACACACAAACATGAGTAAATATATGAATACAAAAATTAAATTAGCAAATATCTGATAGTTGAATAACATTTAACCGCAAGTCCTTGTTTCACAGAACGTATCAGATATTATAATTTCAAGATAACCGTTCTTTTATTAGAAATTAGAAAAAAGTTCAACTTCAGTGGATTAACCCCTCAATAAATAGAGATGGAATCTATGAGGTCGTACATTATCATCCATTAGGATAAAATCAAAATCTAGATAATGAACAGTGATAGATCTTTTAAAAAATCTATATAAAAGGAGGACATTAAACACAGACCCCTGGAAATTCCAGAGGTGCGATCAGGTGTCTTGGAGGAGTAAGCATCCCCTGTTGGCCAGTCACACTTGCCATGAGCCCCAAGTATAGGTCAGGTAGATGGAACATTCCGTAGTCGAATTCAGTATAAAACCAGAAGTCTCTGTCAAGACTGTAGCTCTACTTTGTACTTATAACAAAAGAAGAGAAAAGTAGCACTTGGGCTTGAAACTTTGCAACAGAAATAAATAAATAATAATCCTTGTTTTACTCTCTTTTTGTTGCAAGATGAATTGCAATCAGACTAAAACTGTAGAAAGAGTAGCCTTTTAAAAGAATTTTAGAGAAATTTTGATTCTAGTTACCATGGCAACATCATTCATCAAAATCAACCAAAAAAAAAAAAAAAAGAAGACTTTTATGTATCTCAGTGTGGTCTACTTGCATGCCATATTATATTAAAATCAGACCAACCTGTAGGCGAAATAATATTTTGTTTGTTTGTTGTTTAACGTCCCTCTCAAAAATTTTTCACTCATATGGAGACGCCACCACTTGCCAATGGAGAACTGCAAATTTTGACCTATGCTCGGCACTCAGGGCCATTGAACAGTAAGAGATGTTTTTCATGGCAGCACCTATTGCGACATGAGACCTTGGTTTATACGGTCTCATCCGAAGGACCGGTCTCCATGTCTCACATTGGGATTCGAACCTGTGACGTAAGGATCAACTCCTTACTCTGCGACTCTAGAGCAAACGTTCTACCACTGTGCCATGCGGGTGACAAGTTGTTTTGAAAATATGACAAAGAAATTTCAGCTTTTTTGTAACCATGGCAACACTTCACCAAAATCAAAAAATGGATATACAGAATTATGTATCTCAGTGTAATCTACCTGTGTGCCAAGTTATATTGAAATCAGGCCAAAACTGTAGGAGGAGTAGCTTTTTGAATGTATTTCACAGAAATTTCTGTTTTTAGTAACCATGACAACATCGTTTACAGAAAAATCAAAAACTGGTACACAGAATTATGATTCTTAGTGTAGTGTACTTGTGTGCCAAGTTATATTGAAATCAGACCAAAACTTTAGGAGGAGTAGCATTTGAAAAATTGTTTGCAGACAGACAGACAGCTAGACGGACGGACGACGGACAACTTACTATCGCATAAGCTCTTCTGGTCTCTGACCAATAGTGCTAACACATTGATATCGATGAAAAACTTCAGTTAAAATACACAACTATACGTTATATTTGCAAAATAGGCCATATATAACGACCATAGAATTTACGAATTGCTGATTTTATACGAGGTTGTTGAAATCCCTGTAACATAAACTATCTGTCAGTAGCCTGTCTCAGTTTAAAAATTGTCGGAGCAAGCTCTTGAGTATCGAATAAGTTGGGAGATGTAAAGACCATATGCAGGTGATAACGGGATATTTCTACATAAACAAGGGAAGTTGGTGATGGAAAAGCTGAAGTCATCTCGTTTGTTATACTATATTTAGTTGTTAGTTTGCCTTTATCGATTATAGTCAGTAAAACATCCAAATATGAAACGAATGTGGCAGACTCTATTGTGTTTTTTATTTCAAGTTCACTGTGACATATAAAGTCGACATATGCATGGAAGTAACTTGTTAATTACGTTGTTGATATTTCCAAATATTGAATTGAAGGCCATAGCAAGTGTTTCCTTCTTCTCATGTAGTAGCTTTTGAATACACTTGTAACTACAGAATGTATGAATGATATTACTACATAATTGAGGAAAAGTTACAATGTAAAAGCTGAAGTCATCTCGTTTATCATAACTTTAGTAGTTAGTTGGCCTTTCTCGTCTATAGTCAGTAAAAAATCCAAATATAAAACAGATATTGTAGACTTTGTGGTGTCTTTTGTTTCATGTTCTATGGGATATATCGAGTCAACATATGAATGGAAGTAACTATTGTTAATTGATAATATGTCGTCAATATATCTAAATGTCGAGTTGAAGGTCACAGAGTTTTCATCTTCCCATGGAGTAGTTTTTGAATAAATTCTGCTTCATAGGAATATAAAAACAGCTAATAAAGGAACACAATTAGTGCCCATCGCAATTCCAACAGTTTGTCGGAAGACAGGGTCTCCAAAGACTACATAAATGTTGTCAATGAGGAACTTAAGCATAATTTTAATATCATCTTCCGACACGTTATAAGTCATGTTGAAATCAGACTAAAACTATAGGCGGCGTAGCCTTTTAAAAGAATTTCACAGATATTTCTATTTTTAGTAACCATAGCAACATTGTTCATCTAGATCAAAAACCAATATACAGAATTATGTGTTTTAGTGTTGTCTACTTGTGTAATAAGTTACTAGTATTTTAAAATCAGACTGAAACTATAGGTGGAGTAGTTTTTTGAAAGAATTTCACAGATATTTCTATTTTTAGTACCATGGCAACACCGTTCATTGAAATCAAAAACAGATTTAAACAGAATTATGTAACTTACAATAGCCTACTTGTGTACCAAGTTATGTTAAAATCGGGCTAAATTTCTAGGAGGAGTAGCCTTTTGAAAGAACTTCACAGGTATATTTCTATTTAAATAACCCTGGCAACACCCTTCACCGAAATAAAAAAAAATTGATACACAGAATTATGTATCTTCGTGTAGTCTACTTGTATACTAATTTATATTGAAATCGGACCAAAACTGTAAGAGGAGTAGCATTTAGAAAAAAAACTGTTTACAGACAGTCTTTCCTATGGCATAAGCTCTTCTGATCTCTGACCAGTGGAACTAAAACTGAAAAGTGAAAAGATAACCAACTTCAGACAAAGGAACTGACCACAGATGATAAGAAAATCTAAGATGAGACTAAGCTAACAAAGTAAGAGTGAGCATGGGATGTGACAAACCCTACTTCATTTATATATAGGAAAACCTTACTATTCTAACAATTTAGGTCGATTATAATGCATTCACTGAAAATATAATTTGAAGATTTGATGTGTATGAAAGGGTATTGCATGAAATATACATGCTGACAATTGCATAAAAATATATTCTACGCACTGAAATTCAATGAAACAGAATAATTGTTGATGATTAAATTCATGTATTAGCTTTTGCTTTGTACATGAACTTTTCCCATCCAAAACTTTTATAATTAAGATTGATAACAAATGTATCCTTTACTGATTAACAGGAATATGGTGTCATTCATTTCGTTACATATACAATATACAAAGTTCATTCCATCCTCTTACCCATACATCTCCTTTTTTATTTGTAGTCTCGATTTCTATAATGCTAAGGAGTTATTTTTTGACAGCAGCACTATTCACATGCTACTCTTTTAGTATTTTGAAAATGGATATATTATCTTTAAGATGCAGACAGAAACTTACTGAGAAAATTCTCTTCTTTAATTGTTTTTTTATTATCAATAATAATTGATTTTCATATTATATTTTAATGATATAATATATAAGGATTGAAGTTAGTGGACATTTTCAAACTAATCTAATTCTTTAGAACATAAATCATAAGATTATTAGAAATCTCTTTGTAGTTTAGATTAAAAGAAAAAAAATCTCTATCCGAAAATTGTATTGTAAAAGATGAAAGAAAATGTGTGTTTAATGTTTTCTCTTTTATATACAAACTCATTATGCTTTTTATACAGATAAAAACAGACAGCCATTTTTCCAACTTATACATAAAGTAAAACATGTATACAGCAAACACACTTATAATGAATTTACACTTAAAGCAAAGTGATTTTCATTCTCTGTAATTTTAGAATAAAGGGGTTACAGAATTTTACACACATGTATTTAAGAAAATTCATGAGCATTTTATATAAGCGTGTTTCACTAATTTATTACCAATCATTTTCTTTATGCATACAATAATATAATGCTGCAGGGACATTGAATTTGCAGGAAAAAAGAAAAAAAACATTATGACGGTGCCAGTAATTATATTTTATACAGAGAGGTCAGGACATATGAAAAATGCAATGTAGCGTTTTATCATGATCATGAAACTTTCTTTCAATAAAAGTGTACATCCTGCCATATGGAGTCATTTATTCACAAAATGAAAAGTCACTAAAATGATCATGGGTCATGCTGATTGCAACATTATATTCAAAGAAAATTTGTTTAAACATATCAATACAATGTATAAATAATCCACCCAGAACACAGACCATCCATAACAGGAAGTTGATGTTTTTTGAAAGTAGGACTAGCAGTTTTTTCCAGAGGATCCTTTCCTTAATAATCAAGAAAGAGTCTGTTTCTCAGAGCCATGTCCTTATAAAACATCTGACAAACACACATCTGTCTGCACAAGGTTGGGATCACATGGGGTCACGTGATTGGTTAATCTTTGAAGCTACTATTTTTCCATAACCTCCCCTTCCTTCATCATAATCTGTTCTGTATTCATCACGGACCTGAAATTTAGGATAAATGTATTTAAAAAAAGGAAAACAATTTTAAATTCAACTTCAGTTAGCCCTTTTGTGACTGAAGGACTCAGTCAGCATAACTTTATTATAAGAATAATTTATTTTTTTTTATTTATTGAGTTCTGTCACTTGACTTGCATATATACCTAATGCTTTGATAACGGTACAGCTAGTTAATTTGAGACAGATTTATAAATGTGAATTTTTAATTTGTGGAAATTTTAATACCTTCAGCCTGGCATCGATACATACAAATTTAATGGCTCGCAGTGAAATTCATGCGTCCTGTGAGTCAGACACATGATTATATATACAAAACTTTTTCCTACTTAATCCAGCATAAATCTCTGACTCGTTATAGTGAATCCACCCTACCCCCTGGGGCCAATGATTTGAACAACTTAGAATCAACACAGTACCTCATGAAACTTTCACATAAGTTTATCTTTATATAAATATATGCTTTCTTTCTCTTAACTTGTACATGAAATTAAATTTCTTCATGAAGTTTATTTTCTGATTGTGCTAAAATATTGATGTGTTAGATTAGGTATTAATTTGTCCTTGATGTGATTAACTTTTCTAAAAATTTCCTTTTTCCCATCAAATTTTGAAGAAACAAAGTGAAATGTTAGAAATGGTGTACTAACAGAGGTATACCTAGACTGTAATTGTATATTATCAGCTGGTTATGTATGTGATAAATTATATGAAATAAATAATGTAAAACACACCATTTCCATAACCAAGTATCAGCCCTCTGGCAATATCAGCTCTCGGGCCTCTGGCCCTCTGGCTGATATGGGTGTATTGGGCTGATACAGGATGTGATATGGAAAGAGCTATGTTTATTCTCTATGTAATAGCCAAGGAGGAGTTTCTGATACATTTTGCATAATTTATAAATTTTTACCTGTCCCCCACTTTTCCCCCTCCCATACTGCCGACCCTCCTTAAAGCCGTGGTCCCAGTCCGTACGAATAATCCGGTCATCCAGCCTTGTTCCATTGATGTATCTCATTGCATTCTCTGCGTCTTCTCGTGTGTAGTATCTTGGTTGTTCAGGAAAAACTAATTGCCATTATCAATCTTGCATGTAATTATTTCAATAATGGAAATTAAGAATCTTTTCACATCATATTCTGTTTCATGGGTTGTGTCCCTTTAAAATTAAAATCAAAATTATAATTGTCTCTACATTCATATACACTGTACACAAAATAAATTAGCGGTGTGATTTATTTTTCTTTTAAAATAGTTCTGACTTCATGGTCATTTAGACTTTAAAAAGAACATCAAGATAGAGATAAAACAAAGTTTGGTTTGGGTTTTTTTTTAACACCTAATATTAACAAATATATCAAGTTTTTCTCTGTCAATTTTCCCAAACTGATATTAAAATTCTTTAATAAAAAATTAATGCAAACTTTGCAATTTTTAGAAAAGATGGTTTTGAAAAATTTTCTCAAAAATCAAAGACATGAAGCTAAATTGTGATTATATTCATGTATACTTAATCATATCAGCTAAAATATGCAATTCTGACTTTATCTTTAACAAATTAAAATGACTGTGCAATTACTTTTCTGAGAAGCTGAAACACATCATTGCATAGCACTGCCAGGAGAGAGCTATATGCTGACTCTGGACCGTGGCTTGGGACGATGGCTGAAACATGGCTCTGAATTTTTACTGATAATCACTTACATTACGAGTTAACTTGTCATTTATACATAAACATATTAGACATCATAGCACAAAAGGATACTCCACAAAGCAGAATCCGCAGGGCGTTTTCTTCACTTTGTCCAGCCCCATGATGATTCGCTTGATGTCCCCACATTTCCCAAACAACTCATGAATCTGCTCCTCTGTCGTGTAGTATGAGAGGTTTCCTACATATAACGTAGAGGACGTCAACAAGGCCTTCTCCTGCTCTGCTCGGCTTCCCTAAAATGTATGTATTATATATACATGATTTATAAGAGGTTTCCTAGACAGTAAAGTTATATAATGTATAGGACGCCATCAATGTTTTCTCAAGCTCAGTACAGTGGTCTTGAAAATATTGTGTATACTAAATAACAGAGAGCTTTCCAACATATAAAGTTGATCTAGAGTAGTGGTGTGATGCAGTGATTGACATTATAATCTTTGGAAGCATTTACCACAGTTTACACTGAGCTATCTGGCCACCAGTGATCAAATCTTACTTGAGAAAGTGAGTACACTACAACATATTTCCCCCACTTTTTAATGTCTCTGTTTCTAAAATACACACAAACAAGATTTTTTCCCCCTGGAAAGACATTCACAAGTCGAGGAACAGTCAGCAGCAGAAATGTTATAAAAGGGGGTAAATGCATGACCAGGATCTGAATCTGGCCCTGAACTCTTACAAAGGTGAGCCATATAGTCAACTGCAATCACTCAGAATTGTGTCCACACTCCTTAACTCAACTGGAAAATATATGGTAAAAGTACATGGAATTCCCAATGTGTAGTTGTTAAGGGGAAAGAAGAATTATTTATGTTTCTTTTGAGGTTTGAACATGACTGTGCATGTATCCTCTCCTACCCAAACTTCATCACCACAAGTGGAAAACACGCCAGATTACTCTCTCAATTATTTTTTTGATTTGTTTCTTGTTTGCTACACTTAGTAATGAACTTAAACATTGTTTTCAGAATTATTTTTAAAAAATTCAGTTATTGGGCTTATACAAAACTACTATAAATAGAACACGTATCACATCCCTGTACATTACGTTCAATGAACCCTAACTCCGTCACCAGGGCCCTCTAAAATATGTCAACGAATTGATTATAATTTTTTTTCCAGTTTGGTTTCTTCTCCCTTCATCTTAAACTTGTAAATATAGAAAATTAGTTTTGAAGATTTAAAATAGTATTAAGTTGTATTTCAGGAAAAGTATCTACAACAGGAAAAATAACATTAATATAACGTATTTCATATGTAATAACGACACGCTACGTTATCTCCAACGTGTAGCGTATTAGGGCAATTGAGACAAAAAATAAAATATTTTTAGCCATGCACATGATGCACATACAATATTGTATGTCTTATTAATCCTTTGTCAAAGACCTTCGTAAATACGACTGACATGTAAAAATGAGCATATTGACGCACATGTCGGAGGTATCGATGGAATAGCGCATAAAGGAAAAAGTACTTACTGATTTCACATAATATATGATAGAATATATGATAGATACAATATATCATGTGTAATTGTTATTTATTTTTGACGCATTCTTGAACTTGACTGTCATAATTTCTTTGCAATTGATAGTAGATTTTCAGCATGTAAAATATGATGTAACAATCGCATTCATTTACAAGCAGCACAGAGTTCGAGTAGTGACGGAGTTAGGGGGTTTGGCGATATGTGAGTGGTGGTGTTTAGTTCTGGTATCTTTGGATATTAGTGGTTGTCCAGGTGGTGTTTGGTTCTGGTATCTTTGGATATTAGTGGTTGTCCAGGTGGTGTTTGGTTCTGGTATCTTTGGATATTAGTGGTTGTCCAGGTGGTGTTTGGTTCTGGTACCTTTGGATATTAGTGGTTGTCCAGGTGGTGTTTGGTTCTGGTATCTTTGGATATTAGTGGTTGTCCAGGTGGTGTTTGGTTCTGGTATCTTTGGATATTAGTGGTTGTCCAGGAATCAATATTAAGTGTTGTTCAATTGTCCAGGGAAATAAATTCTTAGTTCTGGCAAATGAAACTGTTCATACTTGCCTGATCAGGCAAGTATATATATTTCAGATACTAAGTAACATCCATCTTTCATCTTAGGCAAATTATTTGTTTATCTATCCCTGTTGTCATGATTTTTGCCTCCCTTGTACAGTGTTGTAGAAACATGAGAAAGGAACGGGTATCAAAACATGTATTAACTTACCATTTATCGCATAATTTTTTTTTTATTCTGTGTACATTCTAGAGAGCATTTACAATTAGACTACCAAGCTAGAAAACTTTTTGTAAAACATGTTATAAATAAAGTGAAAGTACGTTCTGTGGAGAGTTTGGCCATGTCAAAAATCATATTTTAAATCAAATTAAATGTTATTATAAACCATAAACAATAAAGTCAGGTTTGAGCAAAGATTGAAATGTGTGCTTGTCTTTACCTTATAATGTTGGTCTCTGTACGAGCTAATTGCGATTGATCCAGAAGGAAATTTTGCTCGAAATCCAGACATTTCTCTCCTTTTTCGCGTGGTTGACTGGTTCTCTGCCTCTAGCTTTCTTTTTTTTCGGAACTCTTCGAATTTCTAGACCATATTATTAGTCGTAATTATAAAGATGTTCCGAATGTAAATGTATGGCCACTAGATAACAGTGAAAACATCTACTAAGATTTTGAGCATTACAAGGTAATATGACTTTTAAACTTATTTTTCCTGTTAAAAATTAAGATGAAATGAGCAAATGTTTTACAAAAAGTTTATGAAACAGTAAACTTTTTAATACTATTATTCCGTTTGTATACAGCTACAGAAACAGTGAGAAAGGTAAGGATATTTGTCCAAAGGGAATCAAAAACACCCAGAGACCCACATATACACATCTCTGATGAACCCAAACACAAGATAACCAACCCCAAGGATAAGGAAGATCGAGATTAAATTTCAATTTCATCCTAACCTTATATCATGCTTGCAAATATATTTGTCCAATGTTTGAATGTCTGACTGCCAAGCAACAAAATCTTTTTTTTTTTTTTTTTGTACATTACATGAAACATACACAGACAGCAGCTAATACTAGTGACTTTCCTGTCTCGCTGAATTTTTATTTTTTATTCAGTAGTATTGCATGTTGATTATCATACAGCTTAGTTAGAAAAATCTGTGTCATTGGGACAAGGCAATAGAACATTCTGTCTAGACATACAGCTATACTTTTAAAAAATGTAATGAATAAAACACATCAAAGACTCTACGAAAGCACTTTAAAACAAAATAATGGATGCAACAGTTTCTCTATGATATAGGATTGCTAGGACAGGGATGATTTATGGAAACATGGATAATATCAATTCTGGGTGAAGACGATACACATATTGATATGCATGACATGTGTAGAGAATTGTCAATATATATGGAGAACAAAAATTCAGACTTTTCTAACTTAGCAGGGTTTAATCTGAGTTGCATGCAGGTCCAGTGAAAGGAATCTGTATGTACCTATTGAAAATTGATTCCACTTTCTCCAAAATTAAGGAGAGATGAACAAACAAACTTTTATCAAAATTTTATGAAAATAACAGCTAAAGTCATGTTTATATATAATTATTAAGTAAAATGAATCAGATGAACTGCATGTAGATTTTCACTTCTCATTCAAAATTTCACAATTATGTTGTATAAAGCATAAACTGTCCCATTTCACCAAGGTTATTCAGTATAACTTGGGTAGCTGTTAAATTCATTCCTTAAAGAAATCGTCAGAAAGCCATGCCATTGGGTGATCTTTTCCTTTACTCATCACCTGGTGATGTCAGTCAGTAAAAGATGAGGGTATCTAATGATCGGAAGAAATGTATCATATATATCAAGACGGGGCTTAACTGACCCTTTATGTACAGGATCCTGTACCCTTTCAATTCTGAATTTTAATCCAAAAAAATGACAAAGTTTGGAAATACTGATGACTTACATTATATTCATTTTAAATCTATATAACAAGCACTGAGAAATTCTATTTGCATGCTTATCATTTAATAATTTAAACCCTAAAATTAAGGAGGAAATATAGTAAATTTTCAATTGGGACAGGGCCTTTTTACTGGACCTTGATGCAATGGATATAAAGCCAACCTGGATAATTTATTAATACAGGTAGAGTACACTTAAAGAAGGCAGAACTTTATGAAATAATTAAGGTAGACTATTTATCTTCCAGCATCAGAGCCATGATGCCATACCTAGCCTGGCTTCAGTCCCACAAGATCTGGTTGAGTCTGGTTTTACTCCGATTCTGTTTGGTTTTCCTTCCACAACAAGGATACATACATCCAGATGAGTTTTTCCAGAACACAGAAGTTGTAGCAGGTATTTATAAAAATATAATTGTGGAATTCATTACTGGTTACATGTATTTAAATTAATGCAAGGGCTCATGGCAGGTTGAGATGCTTATTTCTCTTAGGCACCTGATCCCACCTCTGGTGTTTCAGAGGGATCTATTTTTTTCTTTTCTCCCCTGTATAAAGAATTTATGTGATCAGATTTGTTGTCTTTACCTTTTTCAGGTTTCATAGACCAAACTCTACTTTTAAATATTTTGTCATTTATATACATGTACATGTATATACACAGTTTCATCTTGGACTATTTTAATGACTAAATATAAATCATAGACATCTTAAAGAAAATTGAATGTTTTAAGTAAAGCCTTAAGAATGTTTTTATTTCTCTATTTTAGGTGATGTTCTGAATATTTCTGTGCTGCGGAGCTGGGAATTTTCTGCAGGACTGCGATCTGTACCACCCATTTACTTCCAGTCAGGTCCCCCATTTTATCTGATGAAGGGGATTCCCCTGTTAAGGACGTCTTGCTGGGCAGTGGTGCTGCCACGGCTTAATGCCTGCCTCCTCAGTCTGGTGGTGGATTTTGTGGTAGCCTGTGTTTGTGGTTTGTCTTCTTTGGAGAGTAAAACTGTTCTCCCTATCTTAGCGTCATCCTACATTATGCTTACATATCTAACAAGAACATTCTCCAATTCCATTGAAACTGTAGTTTTCTCCCTTCTGTTATTGTTGGTGATGAAAGTAGTGAAAGATATACAAGCAAATAAAGAGTTTAAAGAGACTCAGAAGGAACAGCATGATAGATACCAGAGGATGTCTCTAGAAGAGTTCCGAAACAAACATAATACAAAATCAGTCGGATGTAAACATATCACGAACATTTCCAGTATGACTTTTTTCTGGATAGGATTTTTATCAGCTATAGGACTATTTGATAGACCAACTTTTGCAGCTTTTAGTGTGGGCCCCGTCTTGTGGCTGATTATGACAGTTGTGATTGCCGGGGATGGTTTGATGTCATGTTTCACCTTTATGACCTTCGGAGCTGTTCTTCCCTCCCTTGTAATGGTTCTTATTGACACACAATACTACAGCGGAAAAACAGTGGTAGACATCCTGTCCAGATTTAGACAGTGTGTAGTGACTTCTGAAAATGTTGCTGAATGCTGGGAGGATTTTTTCAAGTTGTTTGTTGTAACTCCCCTGAATTTTATAAAATACAACACAGACCCCAACAATCTATCCTCCCATGGACGACACCCCCTGTACACACATCTTGTTGTCAACTTACTCATTTTGTTTGGTCCTTTTGTGGTGCTTATGCTTGTAGAAGTTAAAAGACTCCTTTTGAGACAGTCCACATCCCCTCGTCATGTCCTGTTGTGTTTCGTGATGGTCCCTGTCTTCATACTGTCCATGTTTCCTCATCAAGAACCAAGGTTTCTCCTCCCCATTTTGCCCGTAGTGATTCTTCTGTGTGCCTCCACTCTGCATTGTGTTCGTTACAGATATTTATTTTTCTCCGTGTGGAGTATATTTAATATCACTTGCACATTTTTCTATGGAGTTTTTCACCAAGGAGGAGTTATTCCCCTTTTATCATACATAGAAAAACACACACACAACCCTCATGCAGTTTTTACTCATCAGGACCAATTTCTTTTCTTCCATACGTACATGCCTCCAAGATCTCTGTTGCTTAGCAACTCTTCTCTAGAACAAATCACAGACCTTCAGGGTTCCTCCATGCAAAAGCTTGTCGAAAGTATCAGAACACGACACAATGATGACAGTTATGTAGTCCTTCCAGGCACTCTGATGGAGGAGTTTTCTCAGCAGAATATCAGTTTTGTTGTCACCAAGATGTTTCCCCTTCACTTGTCTATGGAGGATCCCCCTCCACTGAGGGTCGTCAGGGATTTTTGGGAGAATTTTACAGGAACTTCGAGGAAGCTCTCAGACTTACTATCATTGTATCTTATCAAGTCAAAAAGCTAACACTGGACTTGTATTTATAAAAACAAATAAGGGCAGTGAAATGTTTATACGTAAGTTTGTTTTGCCATGTTTGTTTACCATACAATCCGAAGCACATGTTTCTTGAAGAAACATTTATCCCACAATTTATTACAGAAACATACAGAACCAGTGCATTCAAATATTATTGTATGATATGGAAACATTTAATAATACATGTATATACTTTTCAATACATGTAATAACTTTTTGTATGGTAAAAAAGCTTACAAAGAAATCCATTGTGCAATTTTTAATTTTTTTTTTTTGTAATTATTAATGACTTTAATACTCAGTTGTCTGTGTTTTATTGTTTTGTCTTTCTATGTACTGCATTATGAATCTTTACATAAACTGCCATCTTCATTGCTTTCTGCAATCGGAAAATCAATGTCTTTGTTTTTATTTAAATGAGCATGATAAGATTATGTCTGTTATTCTGACATTTTACATGTAATCCTTCATTGTGCAGTATCAATTTTATATTTCCTTTTCTATACATGTGAATTAAATTTATATTATGTAATGAACACGTTTCTTCCCATGTATCCAAAATTCCTGATTTTTTTACGTTTTGGCTGGAGGTGAGAATGGTGCACACAAGTCTGCATTAGATTTACTTGTATTTAGTGGCAGCTGACAATTATCATTAAATCTGATAATTTTTTTAAACATGTGGCAAACTAAGTGAAATATTGTACCAGAGGCATGTGTTCTTGCTCATATATATGACATTGATTACTAGTATATTACATTATATGAATTTTGATAGATATATAACTTTACAAAGCTTTGTCCCATTTTGAATCATATACATGTGTGTTATATTAAAAGGTAACATTTTATACACTGTGGGTGAACATATCAGAACTACTAGTATATAAAGACCTCAAAAATAGACTGCAATGGCTTGTAAATTTTGAATTTAAATGTAGAATATATGGTAATACATGTATAAGAAATGTACATTGTACAAGTGCTTACTGCTGCTGTCATATGGTTAGTGCAAATAAGTTAATTAAATGACCTAACATTGATTTATTTTTTTCTTTGTTTTGACCATAGAGGACTTATATGCATATAACTGTCTAATGTGTGACAAGAACTTTCAAACCAAGATTTGATAATTGAACTCAGATAATCTACCATCTGGGCTCTACGAACTGAGCAATCTGGCCACCAGTGATCAAACCTGCCTGACCCCTATTATTTTTATGTTGGCTCTGAGTCATGAATATTGTCCAGCAATTAAGTCATTATTTTACTCTGTATCATACTTGTGATAAACAGGTGCTTTCTCCTGAGTCACTGCATCTAACATACAGTCAAACTTAGTTATCTCAAACTACATGGGGCCAAGAAAAACTTCGAGATATCTATGGGACTTCAAATTTTAAATAACTTCAACTGTGGCAGTCAGATGGGTTTGATCTCTGGTGGCCAGATAGCTCAGTTGGTAGAGGACTTGACTGCAGATTCAGGGGGTGTGGGATTGAATCCTGGTCTGATCTGCTGCATTCTTCTCTCCCATTACATTTGGTACCATGCCATGCCCTGGAAGTGACAGGTGAAAGACCTGCCAGGGAAAAACCTAGGTTTTTGTCTATGGGAACCAAAGACCTTTAAGGAGGGAGGAATGTGGCAGTCAGATGGGTGCAATTGCCGGTGGCTAGATAGCTCACTTGGTAGAGCACCTGATGCAAGATTCAAGGGGCCCAGATTCGAATCCCGGTATGGTCTGCTGCATTTCTCTCCTCTACCATTACACAATATATCCATGGACATTGGTATTCAAAATATTTTAAATTAGTGTTTGAGATACTGAGGTTCAACTGTTTAGAACAAATGCATCCATCAATGAAAGTGTTTAACAAAGAAAAGTTTACATTTACACTGGATGCATGCTTGATTTGTATGGCTCTATTTATAGACTAAATGCTGTCCATTACTACAGCCTCTCAAGGGTAAAATGTTTGCTATGTGCAGCATCTAAATCTTTCTTGGAATGGAACTTAAAATGTTTTGTTTGTATTTCATATGATAAGCTATAAATACCGGTACTGTGCTGAACTAGAATTAAGGATTTAGGTTGTACTGTTTGCTGTTGAATTATGCATCAAATGGAGCATCAAGCTTAGAACCAACCTGACTCACTTACATAGGCAAGCAAGATGCAGTCATATGCAGCTAGCGTCAAAAACATATGTTGGAAAAATCTGCTGCAATTCCTGAGGTGTGTATATTTGTACAACATTGGTTTGGATATCTAAGTGATGATAGACTTGTGCAAAAACATTAGCATGATTAATATTACCTTCAAGTACTTGGGTCCTTGTTAGAAATATGTATAACCTATTGATATATATGTAAAAACTCCTTTTTACAAATCAATACTAGGTATTATTAATACATATTTATAAACCAGACCCAAGTCTTAACACTCAAAAATTTCTTAAAACATAATTGCATACGTGTATTTCAGTGCTATATTTCTGTATCAATCGCATATTGTTGATTTTATTGAATGTGGGCGTGTCCTATGAATTGATAAACAAACGCACGTGTTAATGTCACTGTAAACATCCGGGTATTTACGGAATGTTGTTTAGGATACAGTAATGGCGGCCGGGGACGACTCGGAGATTCCTGGTAAGTCTAAACATGTCCAGCAGCCGATAAACGGAGCTTGTGGTGCCACCAGGGATGTTAGAGAAGAATCTGATAACATAGAACGACATCAATATGCGATAAATCCCACGCACTTTGACACAATATTGTTATAAAGGCGTGGAATGCGAATTTACAAGTTAGAGATAGGGAGGGGGGATGGGCAAACCGCGGTAAATTGGCACCATTCAAAACATTTGTTCTTTCGAAATTTGCAAAGTGAGATCAAGTCCTAAATGAGGTGTTCATCTAGTATGCCGTCCACACCGGACCGAAATCTCTTTTTTTCTGTATTACTCGGGAGTTGGAGTGCACTTCAGAGGGGAGGGGGGGGGGGGGGTCGTGTACAAAAGGGTAATCTATTTAGAATTATTTTTCGTGTTGACCTACAAAAAAATTACAACAATAAATAATATTTAAATAAAATAATATTTTAAGCATTTAATCCTTCAAGCTTTCATGTATGGCAGTCATGATTACAAAGTAATTTTCTATCAGGAGCAAGAGCATAAACAAAATACAGTTGAACTTTAGTATCTCGAACATCGATGTCTCGAATACTATAGATATGTTAAAGTGATAAATTTTTCATTATAATTTTTAATCTCAATATCTAGAACCCTCAGATGTCTCAAAGATTTTTCTTGGTCTCATCGACTTTGAGGCAATTAAGTTCGACTGAACTGTCTATAAATACTGAGCACTGTCCCTGTTGAAGAGATTTTGATACCTTAGTTCCATAAAAGGTTATCTAGTAATAGACAGTCTTGTCTATTCTATGCATCACACTTGGCTTGTATTAAATGCACAACCAAATAAGCTGAAGTAGCTTTAGCAAGCAAAATATTTACTACTCCATAATGAGTTCCAGTTTTTCATGAAGGTGACTCTTGTTTAATTTTTAAAAATCTGAAATTGCCTTTGGTGTTTGACGTTTGTCATGAGTTAAGGGAGTGCTTTTTAAAGTCATTTTTCAAATTTCTTATGCTGATGAGAGAGTAAGGTACTTATCTCAATATACAAGGATAAACCATATAAACATTTCTGTTGTAAACATTTACTTATGTTAAACAAAACCATTGGGACCTATGATATGTTTAAGATAATTTTTTTTATGTGTTACTGGTCATTTAATGTTATTATTTTCATGATGAACAGAGTCTGGAGCTGTCTTCACATTTGGGAAGAGTCGATTTGCAGACAACTTACCAAACAAGTTCTGGGTGAGAGGTGATAAAGTGAAGTCTGTAGCATGTGGGGATGAACATACGGCACTAATTGCAGGTAAAATATGTCTCTTAGCCTCCATAATTAATAAGCTCAGTGAGTAATGCTGATTGTGTGTGACAACAATACAAATGCTCCTCATAATGAACTGAGAATATTATTTGTTGTCAAACACATTCACCATTAGGGTTATAAACATCTCTTAAGCTATGGAAAGATTTAAAGTTGACATGTTTGAAATGAAAGAAAATTGTGTACTTTTATTTTCAATTGAAATTTACGATTTCATTGTAAATTTTGTTAGGTCTTTTTTCACATGTTTATTTACTTATACTGATATGACATTTACTAGAATGGGTAAATAAGAAAAGGCATCCATTTTTTAAAAGAAAAATCTGCAGGAATTTAACTTCTAGATGAAATATTAAAAAGAAGAATTGAACAGTTGCTAAATTATTAGTTAATGATTACCACTGAGAAAAATGATCCCTGGTTTGTTTTCAGAGAGTGGACGGGTTTTCACATTTGGGGTTAATGACTGGGGTCAGCTCGGCATTGATTCCGTCAAAGTCTCCACAAAGCCAGTCTGTGTGAAAAGTAAGTTTTATTCAGTGTGTCTCTAACCTAATTAGTCCTCTTCGTGCTTAGAACACATAAGGCCTGCACTGAGGACCGCCATCTCTGTCTGTCAGCTGACATTCTGTGAATCACTTTTTATTCTCGAGAACTTTCTTTTCAGGTAATCAGCAAGACTGTCTGCTTGCGGAAATTTTATTCTTGCTTATATTTTTATTAGACAGTATAAGTTATATACAACAAAAACCAGAATTCATGAAAATTTTGTCTCGCTAGTAAATACCAAATACCCTTCTTGCGAAAATAAGTTGTCAGGAAAATTTGGCAATCTACAGTAAGCTGCACCATGCCCCAAGTCCATCCCTTGTCTCTCCTTCATCTCAATGATATTCCCCATCATTTTAACTCTTACCCTATCACATGATTTAATATTTTTTACAAATACAACAGTATTATTGAAAGTTGACTGTTGAAGACTTCAAAAGTACCTGTACAATTTTATAAGTACACTGTATTTAGTATAAAACCACTACAGTATATCATATTTTCTGTTTACAGAGCTTAAACCAGAGAAAGCTACAGTGGTGGCCTGTGGGAGAATTCACACCTTAGTAGCAACAGGTTTGTTATTGTGAAAGTACTGTAGTATAGATTTATCTTTGTGTACATTAATAGATTGAAGCACTAACTCGAGGACTTTTCATAGTTATCCATATCTCGCCCATTCAGTAAAATGCTTGTTGCTCGATCAATGTGATTAGTAATTGTCTTACTTCATATTTGTTGGAATGTAATTAAAAACAGATACTTCGGGAATAACTGTCCTATCATTTGTTATTTGTGACCATAAATGCTGATTTTACAGTTGCAAACTGAGTTACCTGCAATGTGTAAGCGGATGTGGCAAAACAGATGATTGCAACTGTTAAACCAGCATTAATGGTTTCAAGTAACAAATGAGAAGATAGTTATTCCCAATTAAGTGCAATTTTTTTGCATTTTGTTTGATGTTTACCTCTTATTTTGTTGAGTTTTATGATAAAAAAATACATCATGAAGTGCAGTGATTGGGAAGGGCTTGCGCCATGCGCCATAGTCGCATTGAAGTGAAAATTGGCACATTAAATCGATCATTTGTAGCGCCAAGGTGCGCATTCAAATTTTAGCGATGTTAGTTGGAAATATATTGCGTACGACTTTCTTGTTTGTTTTACTTTCATTTTAAATGCAGTCATTTTAACACAACAAATCTCATTGGTTAAAATGAGACAAAAACTGCTTCCTGTTACATGAAGCACTTTAATTAGGACAACAAAGGTACATTAACTCAGTCATTTCCAATGTTTAATTGATATTTTGATGTTATTGATCCAAAATACAAGAAAATTATATTGTTGCGGGTTCCTTTAAATGTGCTTCACTGCATACGTGAAAAATAAAATTTGGTTAATGAAGAAACGTGTTTTTTTTCATATTTGATGTTCGTTTGTCATTTTGTTTTTTTTCTTAAAATGACCCATCAGAATATATAGATGGCCCATTCATTTTCAAAATGGCCCATTAAAAACTTTGACAGTTGCGCTATAGTCCCATTGACCTTGATGACCTTCCCAATCACTGGAAGCGTTACGTTTTGAATTATCCTATTGTAGCATTACAATCAAAAGCTTTCACTCTCATTCATGCTCGTTTAACTGCCTAAAACACCAGTGCATGGGCCAATCAAAATGACAAAACACACATTAGAATTTATATTTGTTTGAATGTAATTTAAAACAGATAAATGTAAACTGCAATGAGTCCACATACATGTATTTATGTTAGAGCTCAGAATTTTTTTTTGACAAAGACTGTGTTTATTCCAGAGTCTGGGAGTCTGTTTACGTTTGGTGCTAATGGCGACGGACAGCTGGGGGTAGAGGATATACCAAGTAGTAACTCCCCAATCAAAGTCGATTGCGAGCCCCGGCAATACAAGGCGCTAGCCGCAGGGGCAGACCACTCTGTGGCTCTCACAGGTTTGTATTAAGGGCAGACAACTGCTGTACTTAAAGTTTAGAGCAAGCTGCTTTTACAATTTCAGCATCATTTGTTTAATGTCATTTTTCAGTGGGTTTGTACATGTAGTTTGTTATATAAAGTACTGATGGATTAACCACTTCTTTATATGTATCAGTAAGCTGTAGCATTGATTGTTTGCTTTCCAGGGTTTGATACAGTCTTGGGTCTACGTTAATGCAGATTTTTAGATAGGGAGATAGAATGTTATAATGTTGAGGTGATTATGTGTTTTCACTGTACCTTGGTGTTTTCTTTGTGTAACGTGTAGTGCCTTAATACAAGAATGTTAAATGTTACTATGCTTTATATATTTACTTTAAATGATGGAGACCTCTTCATTCAGGGGGAGGAGAATTATGTTGAGTGATTACATATTGTTTGTTTTAGATGATGGAGACCTTAATATTTGGGGAGGAGAATTATGTTGAGTGATTACATATTGTTTGTTTTAGATGATGGAGACCTGTATATTTGGGGAGGAGAATTATGTTGAGTGATTACATATTGTTTGTTTTAGATGATGGAGGCATGTATATTTGGGGAGGAGAATTATGTTGAGTGATTACATATTGTTTGTTTTAGATGATGGAGACCTGTATATTTGGGGAGGAGAATTATGTTGAGTGAATACATATTGTTTGTTTTAGATGATGGAGACCTGTATATTTGGGGAGGAGAATTATCTTAATGATATGTTTATTGTGTGTTTTATTTTAGAGGATGGAAACCTCTATGTTTTGGAGGAGAATTATCTTAATGATATTAATGATATGTTTATTGTGTGTTTTATTTTAGAGGATGGAAACCTCTATGTTTCGGAGGAGAGTTATCATAATGATATGTTTATTGTGTGTTTTATTTTAGAGGAAGGAGACCTGTATGTTTGGGGAGGGGGCAGCGAGGGACAACTTGGTCTGGGGGACACAGAGGACTATTCCAAACCCACGTTACTAAAGACAGACAATAAAGTGACCAGTGTAGCCTGTGGCTACTACCACACAGCCATTGTCACAGGTGAGATAGAAACACGGCCATTGTCACAGGTGAGATAGAAGCACGGCCATTGTCACAGGTGAGATAGAAACATGGCCATTGTCACAGGTGAGATAGAAACACAGCCATTGTCACAGGTGAGATAGAAACACAGCCATTGTCACAGGTGAGAAACAAAACGGATATCTCTACTTCCATGATTTAAGTATGCAGTAAAATTTATATTAGTTTATATTTGTTAGTACTTGATTTTCTTGGTAATTAAGATTTACTTAATTATAATGATAAAGGCTTGTCTAGGGCTGTCTCAGTGAAAATTGTTGTGAGTTCAGTAGATGATAAAAACAGAAGTAAATTTTATTTAGGAATAAAAAAAAACAATGTTTTCTTTGTTTTCTATTGCTGTTTTTTCTGATTGGTAGAATTTCTCAGACAGGTTATACTGACTTTCAAACTGGTGAAAGTTTCTGTCATAGATAATACATTACATTGTAGACAATGGTGAAGTTTTTACTTTTGGAGAGAGCGATGGAGGGAAGCTTGGACTCGGGGATGAATATGAGAAAGCTCACAAACCTCGAAAAGTGGACATCCCAGAAAAAGCCAAGTCTGTGGCATGTGGGGGGTCACATACAGTAGTATTGACAGGTAATTAAACATCCCGGAAAAAAAACAAGTCTGAAGCATATGAGGGGGGGGGGGGGGGGGGGTCACATACAGTTTATCCACTAACAAGAATTAAAATTAACTTCTAAGGAATGTTAAGTCTGTCTGTTGAGGGAAATGAAGTGATTTGGTCACACACAGCAGTACATAATCATATGGTACTTTTTTTTTGGATATAAATTCAATGTCTGGTGAGTGATGGGTTGGCCAGGGTCACACATTATTGTTAAAGGTGAGTACAATTTCAGGAGGGGTGGGTTGAATGTTGGGGGGGGGGGATTGGAGATCTGAGGGATAGGTTGGCCAGGGTCACACATTGTAGTTAAAGGTGAGTATAATTTTATGAGGGGTGGGGTGAATGGAGTGGATAGAAATCATCCGCAGTCTTACTGTTAGAGGTCACAAGTTACATGCTGGCAGGTTAGAACAATAAAATATAACAGAGTTTTACTTGTAAACTATATGTAAAGATCTCCTCTGGTAAAATGTATGTGTAACCTACATATATCAATATTTATGAGGATCATGGTATACATATAGTTTACCCATGTAATTCACAAAAATTAAACTTTCACAGAGTAATGATTCTTTTTTTGATTCACTATGAGTTCTATTTAATGTTTAGTAATATCTTTCAGAGTGTGGCAAGGTGTACACTTTTGGAGAGGGCGGTAATGGACAATTAGGTCACGGAACCAGAATATTTACGTATCCTTCACCTCTCTGTCACAAATTCAAGTTTAAGGTCACCCAAATAGCTGCTGGAGAAAACCACACAGCCTTAGTATCAGGTACCATGACGATAATGTGGTGATTTTTATGATTATGAGAAAACCGTTATGTATATTGTTTGGTGAATAAACAGAGTGAAATAAGACAAAGTGGAGAAATTTTTTCATCATAGATGGTGATTTTATTGACAGCTTCTTGAAACATGAAGATTATATATTTTTTATAAGAGATTAAAATGAAGATAAAGATAGAGCTCATGACATAAAATGTTTGAACTTGTACCTATTATAAATGTGATAATTGTGTTCTGTGATGATAAGATTTGGTTTATTATCGCAGAGAAGGGACAGTTGTACACGTTTGGTGATGGTCGCCATGGAAAACTTGGCCTGAGTCAAGACAGCTACTCAAACCAATACTTCCCATGTAAATCAGAGCGCTTCAGCAAGTTTATAGTCACCCAGGTATACAACAAATACAAGAAAGAAACAGGGAAACACGATATATAGCTAAACCTCAATAATTCTAACAGGAGAGATTGCTGAACATCTTATTGTACAAGATATAAAAATTGAGACTTGAATTATTAAAGAGAGTTTGGACTGCCAAGTCACTCCAATATATCCCTGTTGTTTAAATTATGTAAGTTGACCAATCCCTGGTGTTTTAATTAGCTAAGCTGACCAATCCCTATTACATGTATTTCAGATCAGGGTTGTCCCTAAGAATTAAAATAGAAGGGGACATTAAAAAAGTAGAAAGGGTCTGGGGTTTCTTCCTTACACGTTTGTTACAGGGGAATGAGGGGGAATACCAGAGTAACCGGGGAATTATGTTACTATAGGTGGGGAAATTCCCCCGCCCCCGGGTCTTTGGGCAACCCTGGAAGATGAATATATTGTGCCTAAGTACTTGTGTAGTCAAATTAATCAAATAAATCAATGAATTATTTAAATTAATGAGGGGTAAAGTGAGAACTAAAATTTAAGGTTTTTCCAAAGGCTTGCATTCATTGACTGGTTTTTGACCATTCAGAGATGTATGAAAAATATTGACACGAGTAATCTATTTATAGGTGTCCTGTGGAGGTTGTCACATGATCGTGACGGCACATAGGCGTCTTCAGAATGGTGACATAAACAGTGAGTCATCGGAAGAGGAAGATGAGAATGAGAATTTGAACAAAACCAACCTCAATCAGTCGATCAAGGCCGATGGTTCTGTGGACCTGGGAGGGAGCTTCGGGGCAAGGGACCGACGGCGCCAGGAGTCCATTAAACGGGTAAAACATTCCTGTCTCTGTGTTCTTTGTTTTCTTGATTATGTATGGGTTTTTTTCAAGATCACCTTAGTCACAAATTTTTGAACAGTTTTAACTTGTTGTCTGAATTTACTGAACCAATTTCAAGCAATTTTGGGTTTTATATACCAAGTTCTCAGATTTCCCAAAAAAAATGAATTGTTGATTTTTCTGTATTATTTTTCATTGCAGGCACCATCATTAAACCGAACTCTGCCAGCACTCACTAATAACGCAAAAAATGTCAGCTCTCTAAGCGAGACCCACCCCCCAAAGCCTTCACCCCTGGCAAAACGACCACTACCACAGGCAGCTAAACCAGGTCTGACTGTTTACAGAATTAGATAAGAATTTGACCAAAGAAGGTGTTGCTAGTGTCTGTGATAACTAACAGTTTATATTTAATTATTTTATTCATCATTATTCATTTTACCAAAGAATGGGAATATGAGATTTAAGAAGTTAATTAAAATTCAGAGAAAACCTTTAACGAATTACTGGTATGAATGGCATACATGTATGTTATATTTATTTAGAATTATAAATAAAAGTTTATAAGGTATAAGGTTTATAAATTACAAGCACAATCTTTAAAGAAATCATTATACAATTAATTACCCCTTATGAGGTCAACATGGTGAAATAAGGAATTGAGATTTGGCCCACGAGGTGACCTGACCTGACCGAGGCTGCTAGGCGGCTGAGGTCAGGTCAGGTCAGCAAGTGGGCCAGGTCTCGGATCTTTATTTCACCATGTTGAACTCATAAGGGGTAATGAATTGTTTTATTATACCGATATAAGTTAAGGCAATTTTTGTAGGCTTAATTACTAAAATTATCAATTTTATATTAGACCTACAAACTGTTATTATCAGTGTTCCATCAGGATTTGCTAGTGAAGTTGTTTACTTTTTGCCTGCAAGTATTGTAAGTTTTTGCACCTCCGATTTATTTAAACACTGTGATTTTCAGTAACATGCATTTTTATAAATTCACAAATACCATTCCGAGTACAATGACAATCTGGTGCAGACTTTACTGTACAAGAGAGCTGAGTTTGACATTGTAACGAAAGTTTCAATGAAAACGATAAATGTTATGACGCATCTAAAGGCCAATCATGTTCCATATCCTAAAAATACTATACATATTTTCATAACGGCATTTTTTGTAATGTGCAATCATTACTGTATGCATATTTTTTTAAATTTGAATGGAATTTGGATTAACAGGTCATTTTTAGTGGTCATTATTTTTATTGACTGGTCATTATACCCCACGTGCAATGATTCTTAGGTCATTATTGCTGTAAACGGTACTTTTTGGAGTCATTATTGAGTTTAAAAGCCTTCTAACAAGCCAATCAAATCTGAGTATTCTTAATAGAAGTATAATAAACTCAAGATTTTTTTGGCTGGTGGTGTGTAAGGTTGCAATTACAATGTTACAAATGGCATTGTTGCTTATGTAATGTTTTATGCCAGTTTTGTTTCATGTAGATAATTGATAAGAGATCCCAGTAGTTCTCTATAGAGACCATTTCTTGATTTCTTATGTTGGTATTTATTGTTCTTCTACAGAAGTCAAGAAGCCAGAATCTGAGGAAGAATCAGAGGAATCGGAGGAAAGCGAGGAGGAGGAGGAAGAGGCAGATGCTGCAAAGCTCAACCATGTACAGAAGTCAGAGGTAGGTTAGAGGTCAAAAGTCAGGAGGTCATGTACAAAAGTCAGAGGTAGGTCAGGAGTCCAAAGTCAGGAGGTCATGTACAGAAGTCACTGGTAGGTCAGGGGTCAAAAGTCAGGAGGACATGTACAGAAGTCAGAGGTAGGTTAGGGGTCATAAGTCAAGAGTTCATGTAAAGAAGTCAGAGGTAGGTCAGGGGTCAAAAGTCAGGAGGTCAAGTATGGAAGTCAGGGGTCAAAAGTCAGGAGGTCATGTACAAAAGTCAGAAGAAGGTCAGGAGTCAAAAGTCAAGAGGTCATGTAAAGAAGTCAGAGGTAGGTCAGGGATCAAAAGTCATGAGGTCATGTAAAGAAGTCAGAGGTAGGTCAGGGATCAATAGTCAGGAGGTCATGTAAAGAAGTCGGAGGTTAGTCAGGGGTCAAATGCCAGTCAGGGGTTACAGATAAACAGGGAGGTCATGGTGTTCAAGATTTTCTTGAAGAGTAGTGGCCACAAATAAGTCAGGGTTCTCAAAATAGCAGGGTCAGGGATCACAAAATAACAGGGTCAGGGATCACAAAATAACAGGGTCAGGGATCAGACTCACAAAGGATCAGAAAGATTGTATAGTAGATTACGCAGCTATGTTAAGGCTTCCTGAAGCTTTAAAATGCGCTCAAAACATAATATGTCATTGCGAGGTCGGTTTTGGTTTTAATTTATAAGTATTGAACTTTAGTACTTCCAATTTATATAAAGGGTTTCCTCGGCTATATATTAGCATATTTGTTATGAAATCACATGACTTGGTTGATCATGTGACGGTCATTTATAATTTTTTGAAGTGTTTCATATAAATCGCTTCGGCGCAGGTGATTAACACAATAATTATTAACATTTTGTTATATAAATGAACTCATCGTATCCTTGTGTATCCGAAATGTGCTTGGGAAAAGTATTACTTGGGTACAAAATATTTCCTGAGAAATTCAACTTACCTACAAATTTGAGGGTATTTTCCACACAATATCGTAATCTGTATTAAAACAAAGCCAACACACATTTTTCCCAAGCAAGATTCAGTTAGAGAACAACCTCTTCTTACAGATTTCCACAAAAATTCTCAGATTAATCCTCATTAATCACCTGCGCCAGACTCTTTTATACGCACAAAATAAATTCTACCTCCAACCACGGGTATAAAACAGAGTACATTTCAAAAGTATATTTTTCATAAGCATTTTGAACATAATGAATTTCAATCAAGGGTAGCTAAGCGGTGTATTTTTAAAATATTCGGACATATAAGACTTAAAAAACCTTTAACGACCCATGAATTTTGCAATTGCTATCTAGCATTTTACATGCAGTTTGAAATAAAGTGTAAAGTTCATGACACTCTCCCCGTCATAACACCTCAAGTTTGCAGTGACCTGACGTCATTTTCCATTATGACGTCATATTTTGGTAGTTCAGAGATGTGAAGGCACAGAGTGCACTGTCATATTCTACGGGAAGCCTTAACCTACCTGCGTAGGGGACACTTGTAAATTTGGAGACAATTGCATTAGGTATTGTTGGGAATTATGAAGGGCATGGCCAGGTCATAGAAAGTGTACAGATAAGAGACAAGTCAAGTAATTTATAATGGAGAATAATCTGAGTGGAAAGAATGACAGTGTGTTACAAGTATAAGTTTATAGCTGTAGAAATCTTCAAACATATTCAGATGTATTAGGCTATCACTGAAACTATGCAAATGTTTTTTCTTTGGTAATTTAGACTGAAAGTGAAAGTAAACCAGTTCCAAAGCCAAGGCCATTACCACGGAAACATGGAGAGGTAAATATAATGAATAATGTACAGGGCTCGCTTTAGCATGAAAAGTTTGGAATGTATGAGGCTAGATTTGATAGACAGCATGCATGTTAAATCATACATTTAATTAGAGGACATGTGTATAGTTTAGAGAGATCATTCAGTACCATCAGAGTAGACAAAAATTCATTGATTTAGAGCCAGTTGATGCTGAAAGTTTAAACACAGAGAGGGGTTTGTTTGTTTAAAGAAATATTTACTCCTTTCTTTAATATACATATATGTACATTTGATATGAAGTTTAGAATTTAGTGCTGTTCCATGTTCAATATAATTATGTTATCAGAATGATCGTTATGAAAAAAAATTTCAATAAACATTCTCAGACAAAATGTATCCTTTGGGTAAATTAATGGGCAATTTGAAAAGCAAAATAGTCAAATTATACAATTTGTCTAAGATGCATACCATCAACAAAACACTGATACATGTAAATACCATATACAAAATCAAAGGAAAAGAGTATAGAACTGAATGTTAGGATATATATTACCCCATCTAAAATGTATTTAAAGAAACATGTGAATGAAATAGTAAAACTTGAAAGCAAGTACAATTAAAGAGAATAAGGTTTTTCAACTAAAACCTTAAGTTTAAATTTTAAGAAATGATGTTTTACTAATTACTGTTGTCTGGTTCTGAAGGATTCTAGTAGATGGACAGTTAGACTGTTCCTCTTCTGTTAAAAGTAGAAACATAGAAGCTAGTAACATTTTATAGGACGAGGAGGAAGAAACAAAGTCTGTAGACTCAGAGAAAGACAAAGAAGAAGAAAAACCAGAAACAAAGTCCACTGAAGAGAAGAAAGAGGAAGAGGTCAAGAAGGGGTCAGAGGAGACTGAGGAGGTCAAGAAGGGGTCAGAGGAAAGTGAAGAGGAGAGTGAGGAAGAAGACAAGAAGCCAGAGATTAGCCAATCAGAAACACCAGCAACTGAAACTAACCAATCAGAATCCCCTGCAGTTGATGCCAACCAATCAGCAATAGAGACTAAAGAATCTGTTAGTTCATTGGTAGATTTTCACCTCATAAGTGTGTGTGTGTGGTTCTTAGTAGTCTGCCTGTTTTCTACCTTTCACTTGATGGAGTCTTCTGTTCTTTACATTAATTAGTTTTCTATACCTGTAATTTTCTCACAATTATTAATCAGTTTCAATAGCAGTATTTTCACTTCTGATCTCCTTGATATTGGTGTGGTTTTTTCACTGTCTCTTAACCACTGACACTTTGCTTTGGTTGATGAAATGTTGATTAGACTACTAAGTCTAGCATATTTATTAATACTGACAGTAGTTAACAATTAGTACTGTACAGTAATTTTAGTTTCTTGATGAACAGTCAATCCACTGGAAATGTTGAATAGATTTTCTACTAGATACTTCTTATACATATTTATATTTTATTTTTAGTTCAAATTTTGCACTTTATAATTAGGTGTATAGTGTAAGTTAGAAAATTCTGGTATATTCTTTGTGTTATAGTCCACTTGTATTGAACTTAAAGTCACTTATCAAATGTTTTCTGTGATATAAATCAATGCTTAGAGTAGATCAATGAAATGAAAAGAACTTCAGTCTGTAATTCTAAGTGATAAGGTATATGTTGACGTGGACTCTTGACTAAATTGCACCTCAGTGAAATCACAGTCAATATTCTTGTAGAACATTTACTCTTCATATCTCATTGTGTTTTGTGTTGTTAATATATCACTTGACACCGCAGTAGACTGTAGAGCAATCTGTATTAAATGTTAAGAAAGCCAATCTGTATTTAAACTTCATCAGAAATCACTATCATTTGACACCATTGCATAATTTTGTGAAACAATATTCTAACAGACTTTTTGAAATAATGATCAATGAAGGGACTCATTGAAGAATCTTAAAATGTATTGGCTTGAAGAATTCTTAAAAGTTAACACAAAATATTTTCTGAATTTAAATATGTAAAATTTAAAATTTTCTGAAATGATTCTGAAAACAGAGGGCAAATCATGCATTTTTTTTTTTTATAAACAATCACTTGTTCTAAAAAGTTACATGCACACTACTAACTGCTTTTATTTGGACAATGATATTAATTTTGGTTTTTAGAAGTATGGTCATTTAATTTGTTTATAACTTAATTGTTTTGATAGAGTAAGGTGATTAGATATGTGTCTGAGAATTTTAGTGAATACAGATTATTTTGATAATCAAACAAAAAGTTTATTATAGCATCATTCGGAATGATTTGGAAGAAAAACATTTATCAGCACATAGCATAACTTCTCTTTTTTTAAAAAAGTTGAAGTGAATTAATTGCTGTATATATTAAATGAAGATTTTTAATGTTCAATTATTCACAGGTTATATCAATTAAATCAATATATATAGTGAATTATTTTCTTCGGATGTTTACTTCACAGAAAAAAGAGGAAGAAGAAAGTGAAGAGGAGGAGGAAGAAGAAGAACCTGCCAAAGAAACCACAAAGACTTCCTCCAGGGTAAGTCAGCCAATCAAAAGTCTGAACATCCCAAGTCAGCCAATCAGAAGTCTGGAAAGAAAACCATGTCAGCCAATCAGAATTCTGAATATCCCTAGTCAACCAATCAAAAGTCTGTACCTTCCAGTCAAAAGTCTTGAAAGTAAACCAAGATGGGCAATCAGAAATTTGAATACCCCAAGTCGGCCAATCAGAACTCTGGAAGAAAAAAATGCTGTCTGCCAATCAGAAATCTGAATACTTAAAGTCAGCTAATCAGAAATCTGAATACCCCAAGTCAGCCAATCAGAAGTCTGATAACCCCAAGTCAAACAATCAGAAATCTGGACAAAAAAAAAAATGCAGTCTGGCAATCAGAAGTCTGGTTACCCCAAGTCAGACAATTACAAGTCGGGGAAGAGAAAAAAGACAGCCAATTAAAAATCTCAAAACCCAAGTTAAAAAATTAGAAATCTTAATATCATTCAGTCAATCAAAGATTAATATGATAACTGCTTGGTTGGTCAACCAATTTCAGGTCATCTAGTAGTCTGTTTAATGTGGAATTTTCTCTGTCACTCAGTCTAAATAAATTTTGTCAAGTAATTTAAAAAATGTTATCCCCTCAACCAAAGTTGAAATACTCCAATTGATCAATAAACAGTGATCCAAGACTGAAGTTAATGTGAAAATAAAAAATAAGAAGTCTGTATATTTGACTTGAAACCAGATCTTAATTATCTTAATGCCACTCTTACCATAATGCTAGTCATACTTGTCCTTTCAATTGTGAAATAAAAAGAAAACATGTTAATTAAATGCCTGATTACTTTAAGGCTATGCCTGAACCTCCTGTCCCAAAACCCCGAGCAGCAAAGACAACAGAGAGTGAAGAGGAGGAAGAAGAAGAGGAAGAGAAAGGAAAGAAGAAGGACAAAGAGAAGAAGAAAGACAAGAAGAAAGGTAAATGCTATTCATCACACTCAGTTTATGGGCTCTCATTTTATATTCATTGTGTCTCAGTGTTTCATGTTAACAAGGAAAAAGTTTAATTAAATTCATATACATGTACCTTAAGAGTCATTGTCAGATTAGGATGAAAGCAGCATTTTGTTGGATCTGTCTCTATTTGTAAATTGTTTACTTTTCATTAATATGTACTAAAGTTAAAAGATGAATGGGATAGAACTTGTTTTATTAATAGATATACCACATTAGTGCCTTATGAAGATTTTTGCAATAATAATTAAATCTGCCATTATATGTTTATATCCTTCTTTACTGTGTTCTAAATAAGGAAATAAATGTTTTCTTCAGTGTTTATTGGATAGGATTAATGTAATTTAAGCCACATTAATATGTTGCAGATAAAGAAATGTTAATTTCTTTAATAGGCAAGAAGGAATTAAAAGTGTTTGGTAAAGTGTCCACAGGACTGTCAGATGAGGAGGAGGAGGAGGAAGAAGACGAAGAAAAAGAAGAAGAGGAACCAGAGGAGGAGGAGGAGAAGGAGGAGGACACAAAGAAGAAAGACAAGAAGAAAGACAAGAAGAAGGATAAGAAGGTAGGATAAGAAGGTAGGATAAGAAGAAGGATAAGAAGGTAGGATAAGAAGGTAGGATAAGAAGGTAGGATAAGAAGAAGGATAAGAGGGTAGGATAAGAAGAAGGATAAGAGGGTAGGATAAGAAGAAGGATAAGAGGGTAGGATAAGAAGAAGGATAAGAGGGTAGGATAAGAAGAAGGATAAGAGGGTAGGATAAGAAGAAGGATAAGAAGGTAGGATAATGGGGGTAAAATGTAGAAGTAGGAGAGGATCACTAATTTTCATGGGGTTTTTATTTTCATTGTTTTCAAGGTATGAAGATACCCATGAATTAATGTCCACCACGAAATGTGATTTTCAATATACATCTATTTCGACTCAATAATTCTTAATCCATGAAATCAAATCCCCACGAAGCAATATTATTTCCTCAAGCCATGAAAATCTGACTCAATGAAAATATGTGATTTAACATGTATAAGTAGAAGAGGATTATAGGTAAGGGAATACAGTTAGAAAGGTTTGATAGTGAGGAGCTGAGTTTATGGCAAGACAGCACAAAATACATACATTGAATATACTGTAGCATTATTATATCTATTGCCCTTCATTTGTGTTTGTGTATAGGACAAGAAAAAAGACAAGAAAGATAAGAAAAAGGGAAAGAAGAAGAAAGGAGAGGAAGATGAGGAGGAAGATGACAAAGAAGAAGACGACGAAGAAGAAGAGGATTCTAAAGGGAAGAAAAAAGACAAAAAGAAAGGTAAAGCTAATGGTAATAAAATCTGCTTTCTGATCGATTTGACAGACTGGGTTACCACAAGATGCAGGTCATAGTTTTATTTAGTTTGAACCACCTTGAGTAAGCCACAGTTTTATAACACACACAAGAAAATGAAGGAGAGCTCGAATAAGATAAGCCTGCTGCTATATCCCAGTCAGATGTTTTATATACAGTCCCTGAAACGTTCTACTTTCCCATTTTTCCGTTCGCTCACCGTTCGTTCACCGTTCGTTCAGCGTGCGTTCACCGTTCGTTCACCGTTCGCTCTCCGTTCACTGTTTTGCGTTCACCGTTCACCGTGCGCTCGCGTTCACCGTTCACAAAGCGTTCAGCGTTCGCTCTTCGTTCCGTTCACTTTGCGTTCACCTTGCGTTCACCGTTCACCTATCGTTCAGTTTTCATTGTCATTCGGAACTCCGAAGTGAAAGGACTTATCTTTTTGTAGTTAAGGAGTTACAGGTTTTTTTAATTTATTAACTAACATATCGTATTTGAAGAATAATTATTTCATGAGGAAAAATATCTACGATGTATATTTTTATTATTCTAACTTAGCTGTTAGGTTATTTATTAAATTACTCTGGAAAATAAATGTTGTTACAAACACATTCTGTACCTATGTAGAACGATGCTGAAATATTAAATTTAACTAAGGGCAATGTGCAAATACTTCAAGCACTGCAACATTTTGTTGTTTTGTTAAAGACGACAAATCGTTAATGGAGATATAATTATTCAAGTCAAATAATTACGCAGCAAAATTACGAAAATATTTATTTCTAATACGTTTTTTTTCAATTACTACAGAAAATATAATAGAACTAGTTCTGAGAGTTACACATAGTACTGCGGATATCCTGTCAATTTATTATCTTTAGAACGAATTAAATTGATAGTGTGGTTAAAGGAAATATTTATTTAAAATGTAATGCACTACAGAATTTCTCTACTGTAATATGTAAAGTCTATAGTTATAGAGAAAAAAAATCTTTCTTCACCGTAACTTTATATGTTTGCCATTCGATATGATTAATACCCCCCCCCCCCTTTCCCCCTAAATCGGTGACTTAGTCAGTACCGTATTTTCAGAATATTTTAATTAACATTAAAAAAAAAAAAGCTACGGTCTTTTTTAGAACAAAAATTTCAGTCTCAAAACAAACATGCATCTTAAAAAAGTCACAAAACAATAGTAGATCAAAATGTACACGTGTCGGCGGTGGTATTTGAAATTGGCAGAGAGTATGTTTCACATTCAAGTGTTAATGCCCAATGTATTTACTAATTTATTATTCAAATGTTGGAATCAAATCTAGAAATGATAATAATAAATGTTATAACTTGTTGGAAATACTCGCACTTCGTCTTCGATGTGACGAAACTTTCACACCTGCACACCTGCACAGTGTCGAATGATTTTGATTGACAGGACAAGCACGTGGAGTTCGTGTGAACTTGAAGCAGGAAAATAAAAACGAGTATGACTGTCAAACAAATGGATATGATTTGTTGATAAAAAAAAAAAGTTACTTTCACTGTCTGATATATTTAGAAAAAAAATTTCAGAGGTTTTGTTTGATATAGGTACAAACATTTGGTGAAGCCTGAAAGGAGGGGGGGGGGCTAAAACTGAATATTACTCACTCTCTCTCTCTTTCATTTGTCTGTTTAATAAAAACTATAACACCATATTACTTAACTATCAAGTTCTGAAAATTGAATGTATAACAATAATATGAATATGTATCTTTGTATCATCTTGTCCGAGTATAATCACGGCCATCTAGAGATACATGTAGACGTCTGCTCAATAAATCATAATGAAAAATAGAAATGACACATAATATATTATTGTATTAAAAGTTTAAAATATGAGCGTATAAATGTAATTTTTTTTTTTTTTCATAACTTTACACGAAATCGCCTTGACACGGAGATATTTATATATGAATATAAGTTACAACGGCTTTAATTCATTCTATAAATCATAAGTTTTCTCTGATTTGTTATCAAATAAGAATAAACATTTTATTTTCCAAATAAAAACAATATCTTTTATACTTCAGCGTTCGGCAGCAATTGCAATGTTTTAATGCGATAAAAATCGTGTGATTAAAAACTTACCGGTAATGTGCATGCACCGTCTTTCTTAGGACAATTTTGGAGAATTCATTTTATTGACTTATTTATTCATTCATTCATTTGTTTACTTATTTATTATTTGGTTTTTTTTTGGTGTGTTTTTTTATTGGCACCTGACATTATAATACAATAAAATAGTTTCAATGCAAGGAAAAGATCAGAGGCATTCCGAATATATCGTTCATCTTGCGTTCACCGTTCGTTCACCGTTCACTTTGCGTTCGCGTTTGCGCTCCGTTCGCGTTCTGCGTTCGCTCACCGTTCACCGTTCACACATCGTTCACCAAGTTGCGTTCAGCGTTCACACATCGTTCACTCACCGTTCGCTCTGCGTTCGTTCAGCGTTCGTTCACCGTTCGTTCAGCGTTCGCTCACCGTTCAAGTGGGAAAGTAGAACGTTTCAGGGACTGTACATGTATATGCAATGAATTATATTTATCAATGAAATTTTATTATATGTACATATGTATACATTTTAATTTTTAAAGAAAAATATTACATGATATCCCATTGTTCTTTCTCTGAATATATCCGTGTGTCAGTGCAGTCAATAAAAAAAAGTTAATGACTCAACCACAATAGCTATATGAAGTCAGTAAGCAGCGTGAATATTTTACAGACAAAAAAGACAAAGATAAGAAGAAAGATAAAAAGAAGGATAAAAAAGACAAGAAGAAGAAAAAGAAAGGTGAAGAGGAGGAGGAGGAGGAAAAGGAAGAGGTAGACAAGGAGGAAGAGGAGGAAGGGAGGAAGAGTGAAGAAGAAGAAGAAGAGGTAATGACAAATATTGACTGTAGTTACAAAGCCACGTGATTATTTTAAATAACACTCCAACCCCCCAACCACCCAACTAGTAAACAAAAATATTCACAATAATTGTAAACCTTTTGATTACAGAAAGAAGATGAGAAGAAAGATGAAGAGAAAGAAGAAAAGAGTGAAGAAGAAAAGAAAGAGAAAGAACCAGCCAGTAAACCCCCAGAAAAGAAGGTACAAGAGACAGCTAGAGGTTGTGGCTTAACTGATTAGAAGTTAAATCTATTATTTTTGCTAGGAACACTGGTTGTTGAGTTTTACAAAAATAAATTTCATAATTAATGCCATTTTCAATGTCAATAACATTTAATTAAGCTAGTTATTTCACTGCTGGTGTTAAATTATTTTGATTTTTTTTTTTTCAGTCAAGAACTTGTACGATATTATGACGAAAAAGTATGCAGTCTTTTATGAAAGCATTGCAAAGGGGAAGAACTCTTCTGTAGAAAGCTGAACCCGAGCTGCGATACAGACAATAGAAGACGGGAAATGATGTAACTGACTCTACATGGAACGAAACTAACAGGGTGACAGACAACAAAACTTAGCTCTTCTGGAGTTGTATTATTTAGATTATTTATTTGGCCTTTGTTATTAACTTTCCTTTCTATTTAAACATTTAGTTCTAAATCTACAAAAGTTAAGCCATTAGTCTTTAGAAAAGTCCAGCTCTGTTTAACTCATCTGGGATGCATCAAAATTTCTTAGGCACGGAAAATTTAGAATTATTTAGGCAGAATTTCATAGATAGGAATGAATTACATGTATAATCATTCTTTATACCTCAAACATGGAAGTGTGATTTGAAATTAATGACCTTGTACTAAATTATTGCTGTGATTTTTTTAAATTAATGATAATTATGTAATAATTAATTTCAACATTGACTGTATAGTTACTATATATAATCACCATAGAACACAGTGACCTGGAATTTATTGACAGTTTATGGTTTACACAGTTTTTCTTTGGAATCTCTTGTGAAGTGCCCTGTTGCATTCACATAATTCCGTCCAATGATTTCTTACATTAAATTTAACCTTTATCATACTATATAATACTTATATATTGTTATTGTAGTGTGCTCTATAAAACAATTTTTAAAATATTAGGATCTTTGAATCCTGTAGAAATTTTAAGATAGATTCATAATCCTTGTACCAATGATGCATTTTTTAAAATGAATACCAGTATTCATCTAATATCAGATTTGTGACACCATTTCGTAACTGAAGAAAACATGGAATTTAACCTGCATGTTTTTGATGATCATCTGTACTTTCAACCAATGAAATCAGGGATAACAAACAATGTTTTGGTATGTAAGTCAGATATGATGAAACATCAGCACAAAATTAGTTTGGACAAGATTTTGTATTTTTTAAATAAGATTCAAAATTTTTCAATATTCAAGAAAGGAATAATGCCAGGATCAATACTGACACACAATGACAAGCATGACAAGGGTTAAATACATAAGTATAATGAACTTTTGCACTTGTGTAAAAAAAAAAAAAAAACTTTGTATGTGATTGGTTGTATAATGAAGAATTGGTTGATTATTTGAGTGCTCTGTTTTTGGTGCCTCATAGACATATATACATGTTTATTTTATTTATCAATGCCTCGTATCTGCAGATGGTTGTATAACAAATGGCCTCCACACATAAAATTGATTTCGTTTAATTTATACATTTGTCATGTACATATTATTGATTGTGTTATGTACTCCTGCAAATTAGATTTTAAATGATTGAGAAAAAAGTGAACGATGATATTAATTCTACCAGGCTGTTCATTAATTTTCATGCTTGATATACATACATATTGATCATACAACACCAAAGACATATTTGTCAAAGCAAGTGCCCTTACCGTCAAGAAAAATATTTTTAAAAAATATGGGAAATGGTAGATACAGATGTATCCTAATATCAAAATATATAATTGCTGGAGGGTATGATTATTTTTTTTCAGTTTATTATGGTGTTTGTGTTTGTTAAGCCTTAAAAAATGACATATAACAATGAATTCCTGAGAATCAGATGATAATTGATAAGTGTCTTTTACTCTTTCTAAATGCTTGGTTAATGAAAAAAAAAAGCTGATGATCAGGAACATAAAAATCTTCCCAATTTTTTCCTAATAAAGGGGGAAAATTTTGGAGGCCTTGAAAGACAGTTGCAGGGGGGGGGGGGGGGGGGGAGATCAAACATAACAGCTGAACAGATATGGATCACATCATATTGCTTGTGTTTGGGCATATCTGAGTACATGTGTACTTATATCTGATTAAGATATTGTGATGTAGGCTATATAGTATTTATATATATGTGATACTGGAAAATGAGAGCTAGAGTTTGTAAAAGTGAAATAGTGACATAAGGATGTAAAATTCAATTAGAAAGATATTAAATAAAAGAACATTTCATGTGAGAGAGAGAGAGAGAGGAAGAGAGAAAGGAGGAACAACTTGGCATCATTGCAGCTGAAAGTAGATTTTAATTTTTATAACCAATTTTCATTACAAATAGACAAAATACTAGTATTCAGATTTGAACATTTTTCTATGAGAGCTGATGTAGAGTTGTTAGGATTATGTATAAATTTGGAACTGTTGCAGATTTCAACAATATCTATTAAAATGATTTATATATAATACAACATGTCTTGTCACTTTGAGAAAAGATGTGAATGATGATATAAAACCAATTCAAGCCCGGTGTGGCCAACTGTAGACAAAAGATGTAGTAGCCATGGGTACTTTTGTAATGGGTAATTGTAGTCAGCTGTAGACACTGGACTTTTTTCTAGAGAGTATCTATGTGGAAGGTAATGGTAGTCAGCTGTAGACACTGGACTTTGTTCTAGTGAGTATCTATGTGATGGGTAATGGTAGTCAGCTGTAGACACTGGACTTTGTTCTAGTTAGTATCTATGTGGTGGGCAATTGTAGTCAGCTATAGATACTGGACTTTGTTCTATAGTTAGTATCTATGTGGTGGGTAATAGTAGTCAGCTGTAGACACTGGACTTTGTTCTATAGTGAGTATCTATGTGATGGGTAATGGTAGTCAGTTGTAGACACTGGACTTTGTTCTAGTGAGTATCTATATGGTGGATAATGTCAGTCAGTTGTAGACACTGGACTTTGTTAAAGTATCTATGTGGTGGGTAATGGTAGTCAAATATAGACAATGGACTTTTTTCTTTAGTGAATATCTATGTGATGGGTAATGGTAGTCAGCTGTAGACACCTGACTTTGTTCTAGTTAGTATCTATGTGGTGGGCAATTGTAGTCAGCTATAGATACTGGACTTTGTTCTATAGTTAGTATCTATGTGGTGGGTAATGGTAGTCAGCTGTAGACACTGGACTTTGTTCTAGTGAGTATCTATGTGATGGGTAATAGTAGTCAGCTGTAGACACTGGACTTTGTTCTATAGTGAGTATCTATGTGATGGGTAATGGTAGTCAGTTGTAGACACTGGACTTTGTTCTAGTGAGTATCTGTATGGTGGATAATGTCAGTCAGTTGTAGACACTGGACTTTGTTCAAGTATCTATGTGATGGGTAATGGTAGTCAGATATAGACACTGGACTTTGTTCTAGTTAGTATCTATGTGGTGGGTAATGGTAGTCAGCTGTAGACACTGGACTTTGTTTTAGTTAGTATCTATGTGGTGGGTAATGGTAGTCAGCTGTAGACACTGGACTTTGTTCTAGTGAGTATCTGTGTGGTGGGTAATGGTAGTCAGCTGTAGACACGAACTATTTTCTAGTTAGTATCTATATGATAGGTAATGGTAGTCAGCTGTAGACAATAGACCTATTTTCTAGTGAGTATCTATGTGGTGGGTATATGTGGTGTTTAATGGTAGTCAGTTGTAGACACTGGACTTTGTTCAAGTATCTATGTGATGGGTTATGGTAGTCAGCTGTAGACACTGTACTTTGTTCTAGTTAGTATCTATGTGGTAGGTAATGGTAGTCAGCTGTAGACACTGGACCTTTTCTCTAGTTAGTATCTATGTGGTGGGTAATTATAGTCAGCTTTAGACACTGGACTTTGTTTTAGTTAGTATCTATGTGGTGGGTAATGGTAGTCAGTTGTAGACACTGGACTTTGTTCAAGTATCTATGTGATGGGTAATGGTAGTCAGCTATTGATACTGAACTTTGTATATAGTGAGTATCTATGTGGTGGGTAATGGTAGTCAGCTGTAGACACTGGACTTTGTTCTAGTTAGTATCTTTGTGATGGGTAATTGTAGTCAGCTATACACACTGGACTTTGTTCTAGTTAGTATCTTTGTGATGGGTAATTGTAGTCAGCTATACACACTGGACTTTGTTCTAGTTAGTATCTTTGTGATGGGTAATTGTAGTCAGCTATACACACTGGACTTTGTTCTAGTTAGTATCTATGTGGTGGGTAATGGTAGTCAGCTCTATAGACACTAGACCTATTTTCTAGTTAGTATCTCTGTTATGTTTAATGGTAGTCAGCTATAGACACTGGACCTATTTTCTAGTAAGTATCTCCGTTATGGTTAATGGTAGTCAGCTGTAGACACTGGACCTATTTTCTAGTTAGTATCTCTGTTATGGTTAATGGTAGTCAGCTGTAGACACTGGACTGTATATGAATGGTTATGTTGTGAATGAGCTGGCTGTTCACAGAATCATCCTTATCTTAAACTTAACTTTTCTCCATACAAATGTGTTTCTTGTTTTAGGCTCGTTCGCTATTCAAAGCTCAATAATTATATATTATGAAAAATCAAAACAATTCTATCTATATATAAAGAAATGAAAGAAGTGTTAATTATTTATATATAAAGAATCAAAATAACTCTTTCTATAGATGTATATGGAGATTCACAACAACTTTATATCTACATGTATAGAGAATTAGAACAAATCTATAAATAAAGAATCATATCAACTCTATCTACATATAGAGAATCAAAACATCTCTATCAATATATAGAT